TAACATGTTTTTTTTTTTAATTAATGGGAATAAGTACAGTTCTGGTGACATTTTACATTGTCTACTTTTATGACAAATCGTTTCTCATTCAGCGTTACTTTCTTAAGGTAATAACCGTTTTACATGCTCTAAAATCAATAATAAAACCATGTTTGCCCCTTCTAAAGAATTAAATATTGTTCATGCACAAATCTTCTCTGGAGTGTGAAGAAATAGAGCTTACTAGTAGATATTTGGCAAGAAACACCATTTAAGTCTGGGGTGTACAAATATGAATGCAACTGGGTCAATTGTCAGAAGTGCTTAACAGTGCTTAAATTATTATCTCAATCCCTTAGAATACTCACCACCATGTGATATAGAAAGTTTTTATGTTTCAGTCCAATTTTTAAAAGTGTTTTCATGATCTTTTCGAGGTATACTATTCAGGCACTGGAAAATAGCCGAACTGATATTTTTTCGCGATTTTCTTCCAGCAAGGTTTTTTGAGCCTCAGAAATGGGAAAATGTCATAAGGGGTAAGATCTGTGAGGAAGCTCGACAGTCTCTCTGTTTCAGATATTCTCGTAAAATAGCCACTTTGTGTGACAAAGCAATGTCATGCAATAACCAGAGACTACGGATGCCAGTTGCTGGTCGACGGTTTTTGAAGTAATACCTTGCCTTTGTAAAATTGGCATTAACTGGTTAATGTGTAAGAAGATGGGGTATCCATCTGGCACTAATCTTTCTCATTTTTAGCTCATCTGTCACTTTGTGACAGGGTAGGCTTTTGTGATCGCTTTTCGTCCGGCGTCCGTCAAGCGTCCGTCCGTCCGTCGTCCGTAAACTTTTACTTTAAATGACATCTCCTCATAAACCACTAAGCCAATTTCATCCAAACTTCACAGGAATGTTCCTTTGGTGGTCACCTTTGAAAAGTGTTCAAAGAATTTAATTCCATGCAGAAATCTGGTTGCCATGGCAACCAAAAAAAAAACTTTACATATCTTCTTCTTAAAAAACCAAAGAGCTAGAGCTAAGATATTTGGCAAGAAACACCATTTAAGTCTGGGGTGTACAAATATGAATGCAACTGGGTCAATTGTCAGAAGTGCTTAACAGTGCTTAAATGATTATCTCAATCCCTTAGAATACTCACCACCATGTGATATAGAAAGTTTTTATGTTTCAGTCCAATTTTTAAAAGTGTTTTCATGATCTTTTCGAGGTATACTATTCAGGCACTGGAAAATAGCCGAACTGATATTTTTTCGCGATTTTCTTCCAGCAAGGTTTTTTGAGCCTCAGAAATGGGAAAATGTCATAAGGGGTAAGATCTGTGAGGAAGCTCGACAATCTCTCTGTTTCAGATATTCTCGTAAAATAGCCACTTTGTGTGACAAAGCAATGTCATGCAATAACCAGAGACTACGGATGCCAGTTGCTGGTCGACGGTTTTTGAAGTAATACCTTGCCTTTGTAAAATTGGCATTAACTGGTTAATGTGTAAGAAGATGGGGTATCCATCTGGCACTAATCTTTCTCATTTTTAGCTCATCTGTCACTTTGTGACAGGGTAAGTTTTTGTGATCGCTTTTCGTCCGGCGTCCGTCAAGCGTCCGTCCGTCCGTCGTCCGTAAACTTTTACTTTAAATGACATCTCCTCATAAACCACTAAGCCAATTTCATCCAAACTTCACAGGAATGTTCCTTTGGTGGTCACCTTTTAAAAGTGTTCAAAGAATTTAATTCCATGCAGAAATCTGGTTGCCATGGCAACCAAAAAAAAACTTAACATATCTTCTTCTTAAAAAACCAAAGAGCTAGAGCTAAGATATTTGGCATGAAACATCTTCTAGTGAATGTCTACCAAGTTTGTTCAGATAAAAGTCCTGGGGTCAAAAACTGCTTCGTCCCAGGGGATCATTGATCATTCCTATATGTATATAGTAAAAACTTAAAATCTTCTTTTAAAGAACCCAAAGAGATAGAGCTAAGATATTTAGCATGAATCATCCTCTAATGAATGTCTACCAAGTTTGTTCAAATAAGAGTCCTTGGGTCAAAATTGGCCCCGCCCTGGGGGTCATTGATTTTCCATATATGTGTATAATAAAAACTTTAAAAAATCTTTTTTGAAAAAAAAAAAAAAAAAAACAAATAGCTAGAGTTTAGATACTAAGCATGAAACATCATCTACTGGGTGTCTACAAAGTTTGTTCAAATAAAAGCCCTGGGGTCAAAATTGGCCCAGCCCCGGGGGTCATTCATTTTCCTTATATGTGTATTGCAAAAACTTAAAAATTCTTCTTTGAAAAAACTCAGTTTGCTAGAGTGTCTACAAAGTTTGTTCAAATAAAAGACCTGGGGTCAAAATTGGCCCCGCCTCGGGGGACCTTGATTTCCTTATATGTGTATTGCAAAAACTTGAAATAACCCGAATAGCTAGAGTTAAGATATAATGCATGAAACTTTTTCTAGTAAGTGTCTACAAAGATTGTTCAAATAAAAGCCCTGGGGTCAAAACTGGCCTTTGTTTTTAACAATATGTGTATAGTAAAAACTTAAAAAATCTTCTTTTAAAAATCCCAATGAGCTAGACCTTAGATGTTTAGCATGAAACATCTTTTAATTGGTGTCTACCAAGTTTGTTTTTAAATAAAAGCCCTGGGGGTTTAAACTGGCCCCGCTCGATGGGCCTATATACAGGTGAGCGACTTCAGGGCCATCATGGCCCTCTTGTTTAATGTTTACACTTTAAACTTTGTCCGGGATAAACATAGAAAATGTAAAGGCTATCAACTTGAAACTTTGTAGGTAGATACATATGAATGACTAGAAACGCAATGCAGATGAACCGTAACACCTCCCGCCTTCCCTAATTTTGGAAATATTACCCTTTGTTCATTTTTACACTTTGAATTTTGTCCTTGAAATAACTTGATAAATATAAAAAGTATCAACTTGAAACTTTGTAGGTAGATAGATCTCACTGAATAGAAGTGCAGTGCATAAGAACCCTAACCCTCCCTTTGGAGTTATTGCCATTGTTCATTTTGACACTGAACTTTTTGTCCGGGACATAATTTGATAATTATTAAAGATATCAACTGAAAACTTTGATAGTAGATAGATTTCACTGAGTATTTTAAAGAATGATCCTTTCGTGGTCCCCTTTATAGATGTTCAAATGGTTCCAGTTTACCGCATAAAAAGGTCATAGATCAGAGAGAATTCTCAAAACATGCAAATTTAAAAATCTTCTTGTCTGAAAGTACAAGGTGACCCCGTCAAAATTGGCATATGCACTGAGCTAATAGATTTTCTGTTTGTACATATAAAGAAATTTTCTTATAAGCCCTTTATAGAAATCAGTTATAATAGTGGTTTGGTAAACTTGAGACTGATTTTAGATTCATGTTAAAAAGAAGAAAATTCTTGCCAAATTTGCTTAAGAAATAACTGGAATAACTTTCCAGCTTGCTGTTCATTTAAAAAGTAGAGAATTTACCCATTTGATTTGGAGCATGGTGACAAACATTTCGATGTTGGTCATGTTTAAACCACCTTTCTCAAAATTGTTTATCAGTATATTTCTTTTAATATTTTCACATTTATTGTCCCAAAGGTATATAATTAGTTTTGAATTTTCAACTCCAAATACAGCTGTTCGCATTCATTTTAAGGATCATTAGATGGATCATTTCTGGAAATATTGTGTGTTCTATGATTAAATAAATTTCATGTATTGTTAAAATTTTAAAACATTTTTCCTGATCAACTGAAACAATGTATTAAAAACTAGAAATGTGTCTGAAAGACACGGATGATATTTGTAAGGAGCATAAAATGAAGGTCAGTAGTGTCAAAATGAAGAATTTATTATCACAATTGCCAGGATTACAATGACACATTATGCTCAACTCGTCTGCAAACGGAATTTAAAATCACTTTTAAATCATGAAACCGAGCAAGAATTTCTAACTGCTGACCTTTGACCGCTAAGTGTGACCTTGACCTTGGGACTAAGGACCTTGGTCTTGCGCAAGACACAATGTCTCACCCTGCACATTTGAGCTAATTTATTACAAAATCATTTGATGCATGACAGAGCTATTGGCGGGACAATATTTTCTTACTTTTGACTTAAAACCTTAAAGTGTGACCTAAACTTTGAAGCTAGGGATCTAGCTCGTGTGCATGACACTCTGTCTCTTCTCATGCTACTCATTTGAGCCAACTTATTCTAAAATCACTTGATGCATGACAGAGCTATGGACCTTTACATGTTTAGGATGCACTCATGCACACAGTCGCGGACAGGGTAACACTTCATTCCCCCTTCCATTAATAATTGGGGGGGGGGGGTGAAAACACGTTTTTTTTGCTTTTGTCACATTCTAATTTGAATATTGACCTAGGCAAGTCAGCATTTCAATTTTTCCCAAAGTGCGGATTGGATCAGATTTATATAAGCTTGCCCTAATAATACGACAAATCCCTCCCTGGTAATTAATAAAAACTTAAAAAATACTCTTTTCTGAATCCCCAAGGGCAAGCGTTTTAATATTTGGCATGAATCATTATCCAAGATTGCTAAAAAGGTCCTGTCCAAGGAAACATTCGTTTTTCCTTATCTACATTCAATATAACTTTTAAAATTCTTTTCCTCTACTTGCAAAACGGCTTGAATTAACTTTCAAAATCCTGCTCCTCTATTTGCAAGATTGCTTGAATTGAAACACTTTGTATAAAGTGTTCTTCTAGTTTACCTTCACTAAGATTGATCATAATATTAATTTCGGGTCAAACTTGCCGATATCCCGTAAGGTTTTCCCTTCATGTACTTCATGTACTTTCTCTTAAACTTTTCTAAGATTTGGTTTAGAGGTTATGGATGACCCATAAGATCTGACTGGCCTTTACAACTACATCCGTGTCCAAGTAAAGAGAATGTAACACTATTCTGTCCTCAGGTGATCACTTTGAGACCAATGGACCCTTTTTTTTCTTTTCAGTGAAAGCAGCATTCAGATGGTATTGCCAGACAAATCAAAGACAAGGCAGTCTCAGAGAATTGTGGATGCCATTGAGAATTTACCAAAAGATCTCAAGACTCTTGTGATTAACATCTCATGCCAAGGCTCACGCGAAGACCCCTTCTCGTTTCATTTGTCAGCATCAGACACACTTTTGTTGACAACATTAGAAGAAGAATTAGAGAATTATAAAGACTCTAATAATGACTTCATCAAAATCATTTTGTTTTGTGACTGTTGCTTTCCTCGAAAAATAAATATCAAAGGTATCGAGACAGAAAAGATTATTCAAATTAACTCATCTAAAGAAACACAAAGGTCATGGGCCCCTACTCAGGAGACAAGTTACTTCTCAAAGTTTCTGATACAAGGTTTGAAAGCAAATACTGAAAATGCGCCATGTGGGACAAAGGACTGCACTCATTGTAAGACGTATTGGAACTATCGCAAAGATTATGTGACCGTTGAGAACTTGTTTGGTTATATACACAATCACATTAAACACATACAGGAGCCTCAACTTTTATTCAACGGCAGCTCTGATGATTTTGTATTAGCTTACTACACAGAAGAGCAGGAATGCATAGAGTTCACTGTACATGATGATTCTGATACAGAAACGCAAAGCCTTATACTTGACTTTTCTTCAGATATGTGTCAGATTGAAGCTCAACTTCTTGAAAAGTCACAAAGTAAGTTTATTTTACATTCAGATGGGCACTTTAACAAGTTTTAAGAATGAATATCTTTCAAATTTATAGTATGGCAGTGTTGTATTTTTTCTATCAATATATTTTTTTATTTGTAACAAAAGATCAAGCATATCAAATTAATTCATAAAACTCATGATTCATGATTTAGTTTCCTTTTCAGAGGATAAAGATTCCTACACTGTTGCCATACAAAAGATGACTTTTAGAACGGATATAGGAATGGAGCCTTGTAAAACGTTTAAAGAAGTTGTTCTAGCTTGGGAAACCAGACAGCCCCTTCAGGTGGCTTTTCATCCAAAGAATGAACAAATGGAAGAAGGTGATGAAGACGTAGATATTTTATACAGCAGAACATAAAAGATGAATATTGATTGAAATAGCCTGTATGATCACATAGCACTTTTATTGATATGAAGCATGGCATTTTCGAATTTCCACCTGTATCGATTTGAAATGTTTATTTGCTAAATATTGATTCATATAGGTCAATATCTTTATTAAAGATATTCAAATATTCCTTCTTTTTCTACAAAACACAATGTGTCTCTACCATTGAAATTCTTAAATGGGTTTAGCCGATTCATCAGGTTTTTATCCCAAGCTGAAAAGACGATGGAAGATGTGGTAATTGTTGCCGTCTGTCCCAGCTAACATCATCCAATCGTACAATTGAAACTGTTGATTTAGCGGCTTTTTTTATTTGTAAATAGTAAACCATTTTCTTCTGAACCCACAAAGGCTTTGCACACTGTCTAGTGGACCTGTCCTTTGTTTAATTTTAAGCCCTTGGGTAAAAATTATTATGCTTCAGTGGTTATCAGCCACTAACATAGTTTCTCTATTCAAAAAACACTTGCTTATCATGCCGAGGAGCAGGTGGTTGAACAGATGTTACTATTCCGAAGCAATTCTTTAGGGATTTATGCACTTGTTTTAACTGTGAGATCGTTATTATTAACAGACAAGCGTTATACAGCATACAGTTATGAAATTCGGACTACATGCAGTTTCATGTGTAGATTTTAAACTTTGATTTTAGTTGATCTAAAGCTTAAGCAAATGACCCCTGTTTGAAAAACGGGATGTTTTATAGTTTTCCCCAAGGCAGACGGGCAGATGGTTGTGCAGTGTCCAATTTTTTGTCTGGAGCATATCTCTTTCACGCATTGAGGAATTTTTTATGAAACTTCATAGAAATGTTCACCACTATGAGAAGCTGTGTAATGCACATGAAACAGGTCTTCAGGTCAAGGTCACATTAGAGGTCATTAAAAAACACTTTTCCGGAGCAAAACTTCTACATGCATAGAGGGATTCCAATATAACTTGCCACAAATGTTCACCATTGTGGGGCTGATTCACGTGCAAAATTCATGGTTCAGAGAGAAATACGAAAATGTGTATTCGGACCTTTTAGACATCATTTCTTAGGGAATTGAATCACAAATCATAATCATGATTAGAGGTGTAAAACATGTAATTTAGGTTAATATATGCAAGGTGATAAAATATAGCGATTTTGTCCAGAGCATATCTCCTACACATATGGAAGGATTCTAATGAAACTTCATAGAAATGAAATGTTCACCACTATTAGAAGCAGTCTCTTGCGCATGAACCAGGTCTCTAGGTCAAAGGTCAAGGTCACGCTTAGAGTTCATTTAAAAAATGCTTGTCCAGAGCAAAACTTCTACATATATAGTGGGATTTCAATATAACTTGGCACAATTGTTCACCATTGTGTGGCCGACTAAGTGTCACATGTAAAATTTAGGACCTTTTGGCCAAGGTCAATGTCACACATAGGAGTCAAAGTTAAGATAAAAATGTGTATTCGGACCATTTAGTCATCATTGAATGAGGGATTGAAACACAAATGATTATTATCATGATTACGGGTATGATACAGGTAATTAAGGTTAATATATGCAAGTTCAAGCTCACTTAAGATGATAAAATATAGGGATTTTGTACTGAGCATATCTCCTACACATATGGATGGATTCAAATGAAACTTCATAGAAATGAATTGTTTACCACTATGAAAGCAGTGTAGTGTGCATGAACAAGGTCTCTAGGTTACAAGTCAAGGCAACACTAAGAGGGCATTGAAAAACGCTTGTCCAGAACAAAACTTCATATGCATATGGGTATTTCAATATAACTTGGCACAAATGTTCACCATTGTAAGGCAGAGTATCGCATGCAAAATTTAGGTCCCTGTGGCCAAGGTCAAGGTCACACATAGTGGTCAAAGTTCAGATGAAAATGTGTATCGGACCATTTAGTTATCATTTATTGAGAGATTGAAACCTGAATGGACATTATCATGACTTCCATTGTAAAGCTAAGTATTGTGCGCATAATCCAAGTCCCTGCTAGCAAAGTCAAGGTCATATAGAGATAGTCAAAGTTTGTGTAAGGGGACCATTTAGTCATAGATGGATTGTAACACAAATGATAACTATCATGACTACAAGTGTGACACATGTAAGGTTTATATTTGCGAGGTAACGGTCACTAGAGGTGATAAAATATCCAGATATTGCCCAAAGCATATCTCCTATATGCATATATATATGATGCTCATATCTCTGACAAAAACTTTCATGACGGACGTATTTAGCACGTATTTAGCGTCAATGTTGTCCTTGTTTCTATCTAAAATTAATTTTAAATTATATACACAGTTCCGGATGTAAAATTTAAACTTAACTATGATTTACATCTTTGTAATGAAATTATCAGAAGTAACATTGAAAATTGAACTACAACCACATTTTCAGATGCTCTGGTGGAGATTTGTTATCTGATATCAGTTGACCTAGATTTTGACCAAGTGACATTTTTAAGGCACCTGTTTCAAAATCTGTACAGCCTTCAATAGGCCTCATTTAATTACAAATATACATGCACATTTCTTCTAAAATTGCAAAGTAGAATTAATTTGATTAAACTTGAACAAATGGTCTATCATTTTTACCTTGACATCATCTCCTGCTAAACCTCTTGCCAATAGTGATGAAACTACACAGGAATGATTCTTGAGTTGTCCTCTATAAAATGCTCAAATAGAATCGCTCCGCTTAACAAGGTACCTGCCAGAGGGATTAAACAGATTTGCTCAGATGGTTCAATTCTGGTGAACTAGATGGCTGCTAGAGCAAAAAATAGAAAGACCGACATCTCCGCAACCACTTGCCTAGCTTCCTACTTTGTTGTGTTTTTAGCTACAGCTATGTCATTTGGACGTGTAAGCTATAATACATTCCATGGAATTCCTTAACTTTGAACTTGATTATGACCAAATTACCAGCTTTTGGGGCTATAAATATATGGCTTTAAAATGCGGTGGCATTATATATTACAAATAAGGTCTTGTTCAGTTTTGTTTCATTTTGAATAATATTTGTTCGTTCAAATATTAAATATAAGTTCCCTATCGGTAAAACCGTCGTCCCTCTGTCTGTCCGTCCGAGCTTACATTTGAATACTTATGTGGTTAGAGGTACAATAAGTAACTGTAGCTTTTCTTTGAAGTCATTCATTCCGTAAGGCATTTACGTGGCTAGTTTCCTTTATGTGGCTAAAAGAACAATATAGTGACCACATAATTAGTGTCTCGTTACAACGTTCGTCTTTTTTGTTAGACCGTCAGTTCACAAAACTGGGTCCCGTGATAACACAACAAGTACTGATTTCTTATGAAACTTAAAATGTGGGTATATGGCAGTCTGGAGGTTATGCACACTTCTTTTTTTTTTCTATGTTGAAAACTTTGGTTGCTATGGCAACAAAGAGACTTAAAATATGGCAAAATGCAAATGATAATGCAAAAAGTACTAAAAATAGTTTCATAAAACTAGGAATAAGGGTAGATGGCAGTATTGAGATTATGCACATCTTTTATCATCCTATATTGAAAACTGTGGTTGCTATGGTAACAACTAAACTCAAAATATTGCAAAAAGAAAAATATTTGTGTTAACTCAAAAAGTACTGTAATTTTTTTATGAAACTTGAAATATATTTAGATGGCAGTATGGAAATTAAGTACATTATTCTAAGCTCGACTGTAGGGCGTATAATGCCAGCTGTCCTACTCACCCAAGGTCTGCGACCTTGTCAAGGTTTTTAATTCCATTAAACTTTTTACAGGACTAACGCAGTAAAATTTTCATAGAAATTCTTTTTTTTTCTTAAAAACTTGAAATACATGTTTCTTATCATCAACCACATCATATGCGACAAGGTTTACAACTCTAGCACAGAAACTAAAAGAGTTTAAATGTAGAATTTTTCAAAATTTGAAATGTAAGTTTGTTATCATCACAGACCCACATCGGAAGCGGAACGTTTTATAATTCAATTCTAGTACCTATATTATCAGAATTATCATCCTTGAACTAAGAATTTTCATTTAAAAAGTGTTGTTTTGTTTTCAAATAATTATTAAGCATGGAAACTTAACACATTACTATGATACAGATACACTAAGAACGTTTATTCATGTCTTCCTCGACGGCATAATTGAATGGTCATGCTCCTTCAGAATGTTAATGGGGTTTTAACTGGAAGGGGACTTTTGTATTGCTTGAAATACTTTGATCATTGCTTGTTCATGACGGATTTGATAAAATCTTAAAAAGTATCTTAGGCAATCTCATTGGAAGGACGATTATTTTTTTTACTGGCCAGTGAGTAATTTTCTGAAATGAAATATGAAAATGATGGAAAATGATGTTTTCTTAAATAACCCTTTCCTACAATATTTTCATTTTAGAAATCAGAAAAGTAAAGGTGGCCCAGCTGGTCGGTGGCTTTTATTAGACATTATTTCAATGCATAAAAATATCTTGTTGAATGTTAATGACATATATCCCTATCTTAGAGTTATGTTATAATTATTGTTTGTGGTTTTGGACAATGTATCATTATAGTGATGTAGTTTTGTAGATACGTTTCGCATTATTTGATTTGAGAGCTTGAGGTATTCAATTTCGAAGTGGTGGTCGTATATGTACAAGTGGTATTCAGTATGGAAGCACCTCTTCAAATATAGGTTTTGTAGCTGTGTACTCGTATAATTGAATTCAGTATTCAAGAATGTAAAACCTCATTGTTCCATAAAGTCATAATAGTTACCCGTTCATCTATTATACGGTAGTGTTTTGACTTTTCTCGTGATAGATAGTTTTATGTTCTTTTGTTATTTTTGCATCAATTATAGATCATTGTTCAGTGAAATGATTAGCAGAGAATGACACATGTTCATACGTTATTTAAAATTTAATCTTACAAATCACTAACATGAAAAAATACTTTGTCTCCCCTAAGGAGTAGTGCGATATATAAGGTTCACTTATCCATCGTCTGTCTGACTGTCTGTTCGTCTGTCCGCCCGTCTATGATTTCATCCAAATTTTACAGGAATGATCAGTACCAAGTCTAGTTGTGCATATCATCAGCATTTTCCGGTTCAATGATTTTGTCCGAGTTAATTAATAATTTTTATTTTTTTTAATTTGTCCGGGCTACTCCTGTAGCTTATACCACTAATGCAATTTCTGGCCCTTGAATGAAAAAGGTGTTAATAAAGTTTGTCCGGTCTACTCATATTATACCATTAATGCAATATCGATGAAACTTTACAGGATTGATTGGTAGGTCAAATTCTTGTGCATAATACACACGTTTTTCGCTTTAATGATTTTGGATGAGTTATTGCCCTTGAATAAAAAAGAAGTTTGTCTGGATCAACATCTGAAATTTACTTAAAGAATCCAGATACATGTATGTTAAAGTTTGACTATTAATTAAAGAAGTGGATAGTAAGAAATTCTGTATATTTTTGAAAATAATGTATAGAAAAGTATATGTAAATACTAATTGTGTATTTCTTTTGGAATGGTCTCGTTTTGTTTTGTGTAATAAACCGTTATAATATCTCAAGTATATTATTAAAAAGGAGTAAAATAACATTTTCTTTTTTAATGACACTAACCTTGTTTTGTTTAAATTGTGTATAATTTTTGATAGTGTATGAAATTATATTTTGTATTGCATATAATGTAAATAATAAAATGTATTTTGAACAAATGAATTCTGTTGTTGTATCTTACTAGATAATCCAACAAATTTTTATACATAATTAAATGTTTGTACATTTGTATTCCATGTTGACTGAGATTTTTGTTTCACCTTGGGGGCCTTTTTATACTGAGCATCGGTTTATTAGTTTATAGAGATTTCGTTAATTTCGCTCAAAACGAGAATGTGGGTAGTTACTTAAGTACAACCACTATGGAATCGCCGTGTGACATTGCCTGCCAAGCTGCATCAGAGGGCATGACATGAAAGATTAACAATCGGATAACCTTGATAATTGCTAATGATAATTTTGGAATTAATACAGATTGAAAGTAGCCCTATACAGTTATCAGATGTAAACAGAAACAAATGGTGTAATCTTTGAATAATATAAATATTAACAGTGTGTATATTTGACAATGAAAGGAAATTAATGGGTTTTAGCTCACCTGTCACAAAGTGACAGGGTGAGCTTTTGTGGTCATTTTACGTCCGGCGTCCGTCCGTCCGTCGTCCGTCCGTCGGTAACTTTTACTTTAAATGACATCTCCTCATAAACCACTAAGCCAATTTCATCCAAACTTCACAGGAATGTTCCTTTGGTGGTCACCTTTAAAAATTGTTCAAAGAATTTAATTCCATGCAGAACACTGGTTGCAATGGCAACAGAAAGAAAAAGGTTTAAATATCTTCTTTTAAAAAACCCTAAGAGCTAGAGCTTAGATATTTGGCATGAAACATCTTCTAATGAGTGTCTACCAAGTTTGTACAAATAAAAGCCCTGGGGTCAAAATTGGCCCCGCCCCAGGGGGTCATTGATTTTCCCTATATGCATATAGTAAAAATTAAAAAATCTTCTTTTAAAGAACTCAAAGAGCTTGAGCTAAGATCTTTAGCATGAAACATGTTCTAATGGGTGTCTACCAAGTTTGTTCAAATAAAAGCCCTGGAGTCAAAATTGGCCCCGCCCCGGGGGTCATTGATTTTCCTTGTACGTGTATAGCAAAAACTTAAAAAATCTTCTTTGAAAAAAACCCAAATAGCTAGAGTACAGATATTAAGCATGAAACATCTTCTAATGAGTGTCTACCAAGTTTGTTCAAATAAAAGCCCTTGGGTCAAAATTGGCCCCGCCCCAGGGGGTCTTTGATTTTCCCTATATGCATATAGTAAAAACTTAAAATATCTTCTTTTAAAGGACCCAAAGAGCTAGAGCTAAGATATTTAGCATGAAACATATTCTAATGAGTGTCTACCAAGTTTGTTCAAATAAAAGCCCTGGGGTCAAAATTGGCCCCGCCCCAGGGGGTCATTGATTTTCCCTATATGCATATGTAGTTAAAATCTTAAACAATCTTCTTTTAAAGAACTCAAAGAGCTAGAGCTAAGATATTTCAAAGTTCAGATGAAAATGTGTATCGGACCATTTAGTTATCATTTATTGAGAGATTGAAACCTGAATGGACATTATCATGACTTCCATTGTAAAGCTAAGTATTGTGCGCATAATCCAAGTCCCTGCTAGCAAAGTCAAGGTCATATAGAGATAGTCAAAGTTTGTGTAAGGGGACCATTTAGTCATAGATGGATTGTAACACAAATGATAACTATCATGACTACAAGTGTGACACATGTAAGGTTTATATTTGCGAGGTAACGGTCACTAGAGTGTGATAAAATATCCAGATATTGGCCCAAAGCATATCTCCTATATGCATATATATATGATGCTCATATCTCTGACAAAAACTTTCATGACGGACGTATTTAGCACGTATTTAGCGTCAATGTTGTCCTTGTTTCTATCTAAAATTAATTTTAAATTATATACACAGTTCCGGATGTAAAATTTAAACTTAACTATGATTTACATCTTTGTAATGAAATTATCAGAAGTAACATTGAAAATTGAACTACAACCACATTTTCAGATTGCTCTGGTGGAGATTTGTTATCTGATATCAGTTGACCTAGATTTTGACCAAGTGACATTTTTAAGGCACCTGTTTCAAAATCTGTACAGCCTTCAATAGGCCTCATTTAATTACAAATATACATGCACATTTCTTCTAAAATTGCAAAGTAGAATTAATTTGATTAAACTTGAACAAATGGTCTATCATTTTTACCTTGACATCATCTCCTGCTAAACCTCTTGCCAATAGTGATGAAACTACACAGGAATGATTCTTGAGTTTGTCCTCTATAAAATGCTCAAATAGAATCGCTCCGCTTAACAAGGTACCTGCCAGAGGGATTAAACAGATTTGCTCAGATGGTTCAATTCTGGTGAACTAGATGGCTGCTAGAGCAAAAAATAGAAAGACCGACATCTCCGCAACCACTTGCCTAGCTTCCTACTTTGTTGTGTTTTTAGCTACAGCTATGTCATTTGGACGTGTAAGCTATAATACATTCCATGGAATTCCTTAACTTTGAACTTGATTATGACCAAATTACCAGCTTTTGGGGCTATAAATATATGGCTTTAAAATGCGGTGGCATTATATATTACAAATAAGGTCTTGTTCAGTTTTGTTTCATTTTGAATAATATTTGTTCGTTCAAATATTAAATATAAGTTCCCTATCGGTAAAACCGTCGTCCCTCTGTCTGTCCGTCCGAGCTTACATTTGAATACTTATGTGGTTAGAGGTACAATAAGTAACTGTAGCTTTTCTTTGAAGTCATTCATTCCGTAAGGCATTTACGTGGCTAGTTTCCTTTATGTGGCTAAAAAGAACAATATAGTGACCACATAATTAGTGTCTCGTTACAACGTTCGTCTTTTTTGTTAGACCGTCAGTTCACAAAACTGGGTCCCGTGATAACACAACAAGTACTGATTTCTTATGAAACTTAAAATGTGGGTATATGGCAGTCTGGAGGTTATGCACACTTCTTTTTTTTTTCTATGTTGAAAACTTTGGTTGCTATGGCAACAAAGAGACTTAAAATATGGCAAAATGCAAATGATAATGCAAAAAGTACTAAAAATAGTTTCATAAAACTAGGAATAAGGGTAGATGGCAGTATTGAGATTATGCACATCTTTTAT